CTATTTATTTTTGAAAATTGGAATTATATGTTAATGAAAAAAAATACTGGGATTTGGGAAAGATATAATTTTGAGTTGAACTATATTTCATGTTGTCTAATTATTGAGATATTTTGATTTCACTTCATATCTTATGTTTTTAATGTTTTATATTATTCACTCATTAATATATAAAAAATTTATCATTTTATGTTTACACAATCTTTTGATTTTGAGGCTTATGTCTCGCCTCACAAATGAAAAACGCCTCAATACCCGAATATGCAATTTTAAACATTGCTAGGATTGACTGGCTACCTATGTTGCACCGACACACCTATTTATGAAGGTGTGTTGTATCCGATACATCGATACACCGATACGGCATCGATACTTGTAGGATACGACTTTGCCGTATCCAATTAAAATACTATTTAATTTCAAAAGGATATGCATGTCCGTTGAAAAGCCAAAAAAAATTCGAAAAAAGACATTTCGTATTTACTTCCGCGGCTGCGAGCGAGGTTCTCTCATTTTCGAGATGGATTTGAATCACTTGATGATATAGGAATATTAGAAATTGCTAATCTTTTACTTGATGAGCCTAAATTAGAAGCTATGATATTTATTAAAGATTATATAAAAGTTCAAAGATAAACCACTGAAGAAGCTAATCATATCATTCCTTCTATTGAATATTTGAAACTTCATGTGCTAGACATTTAATGTTTTTGATATTATTAGCTACAAAGCTACAAATGTTGTTGCTTTCATTTTTTTGTAATTTCAAATATTAAGCTTTGATTGCCTTCTTATTTTTTATGTATGTTTTATAAATTATAATGATGTGTCCGTGTCATACCCGTATCCTGTATTTTTAAGAATTGACGTGTTCTATCTCCGTATCGTGTCGCATCTGTGTCGCCGTATCCGTCTCGGTGCAACATAGTTGGCTACTACAGGAGGTTTGTGAAGGGGTACGGTACCATCACGTGGCCATTGACTGAGCAGCTAAAGAAGGACAATTTCTCCTGGGGATAGGCAGCAACTCAGACCTTCGAGAGGTTGAAGAAAGCCATGACCACAGTTCTTGTTTTAGCTCTTCCAGACTTCAACCAGGACTTTATAGTAGAGACCGACGCATCAGGATATGGGTTGGGGGCAGTGTTAATGCAAAACCACAGGCCGATAGCATACTTCAGTCAAGTGATATCAACAAGGGCAAGATTGAAGTCAGTGTACGAGAAGGAGATGATGGCTATTGTCTTGGCGATTCATAAGTGGCACCCCTATCTTTTGGGTCGACATTTCGTCGTCCGAATGGATCAGAGGAGTTTGAAGTACCTTTTGGAGCAAAGGATGGCGACTGAGGAGCATCAACGATGGCTATCCAAACTATTAGGCTATGATTTTGAGATTCAGTATTGGCCTGGGTTTGAAAATAAAGCAGCTGACGTTTTATCCAGATGTGTGGAGGAGCTCCAGGGGTTAGCGGTGTCAATACCATTGATGGTAGACTGGGGGGTATAAAAGAAGAAAATATGTTGAACGAAGAGTTGAAAAAGATCAGAGAGGATCTGGTGACAGACAAGAGTAGCTACCCAGGTTACTATATAGAAATGGGGAGACTGTTATACCAAGGGAGGTTTGTGATGCCTCGAACCTCCATACATATTCCTCACTTGCTACAGGAGTTCCACGATAGCACAGTGGAAGGTCATTCAAGGGTTCAGAAGATATATAGAAGGCTGGCATTTGAGCTTTATTGGAAAGGGATGCATAAAGATGTTGAGGAGAAGGTGGCAAGGTGTGAAGTGTGCCGGAGGAACAAATATATGGCCATGGCTCCTAGAGGACTACTACAACCATTGGCACTTCCAAACAAAGTTTGGGAGGAAGTGTCCATGAATTTCATAGATGGTCTTCCACGATCGGAAGGATTCACGGTCATCATGGTGGTGGTTGACAGACTTAGTAAGTATGCTCCTTCACCCTCTTACAACCCCTACACCGTGGTGTTAGTAGCAGCAATATTTATCAAGGAGGTTGTTAGACTGTATGGGATCCCTGAGTCAATTGTGTTTGATTGAGACAAGGTGTTTCTCAGCCAGTTTTGGATGGAGCTGTTCAGGTTGCAGGGCACGACTCTCAAAAGGAGCACCGCCTACCATCCTCAGACAGACAGGCAAACAGAGGTGGTGAACCGAAGTTTGGAGACCTATTTGCGGTGTTTTGCTTCTGAAACACCAAGGATGTGGGTCAAGTGGTTACCGTGGGCCGAATATTGGTACAATATATCGTACCATTCAGCTTCGCAGATGACTCCTTTCAAAATGATGTATGGAAGGGATCCCCCGCACCTAGTACATTATTGGAAGGGAAGCACACCAGTTTCTTCAGTTGAGCAGTACTTGGATGAAAGGGACAAGGTGTTGGAGGAGTTAAAGAAACATCTGTTGAGGACACAACAAATCATGAAAAGGCAAGCGTACTCACATAGGAGGGACATGCAATTTGAGGTAAGAGAGAAGGTGTTCCTAAAACTACACCCTTACAGACAAAGGACGGTTGCTAGAAGGAACGAGAAATTGGCATCGAGATACTTCGGCCATATGAGGTTCTGGACAGGATTGGGGCAGTGGCATACCGACTGAAGTAACCTCCATCAGCTACCATACACCCGGTCTTCCATGTGTCTCAATTGAGGAGAGCTCTAGGAGAGCATGTCGTTAGTGCAGAGTTACCGTCTACATTAATGGAGGATTTGGAAGTAATGTTAGAACCACTGGAGCTGGCGGGAGTCAGATCAGACAAGGAGGGCAACAAAGAAGTGCTGATTAGATGGAGAAGCCTCTCCGATTTCGATGCTACTTGAGAGTCATTTGAAAGAATGAAAGATCAATTCTCTTCATTTCACCTTGAAAATAAGGTGAGTCTTTGGGAGGAGAGTAATGTTAGGCCGGCCTAGGAGGGGTCGACTGGAACGGTCCAGCCTGGATCGGTCCTCTTCTACTCCAAACGGAATCGTAAAATTTCCAAACTTTCTCCAGCAAACAAAAAAATATATGATTAATATGAAGAAAAGTGCAGTGAAAATGCAATCAAAATGCAACTAAAACGCAGTGATAGCGCAGCTAAAAAGCAATGAAAGCGCAATACCAAAAGCGCAGTGAAAGAGCAGTGAAAAGCGCCATTAAAAAATGAAGTCATATATTTTGAAGCTATGCAACCAACTTTTGAAAACTGAAGAAGTCTTTATACGAACTAATGCCATAAAAGCAAATGCACATCAAAATCACACTTAAATCACAGTTAAAACGAGACTAAAATGAACAAAAATAACTTAAAAATTTTAAAGCAAATAAAAACAACTTAGTTTTTAAAATAGAAGAACTTGTTACGCTATCGATACCCGTGAATATTTAGCAAAACCGCATCAAAGGCGCAACAAGTTCTTACACTTGTTTGCATGTGGAGATGAACTTTTGCACCGACTGAAATGTCAAAGGAATGGAGTGAAGCATCTGGAATACCGAAGGAATGGAGTGAAGCATCTGGAATACCGAACGAGAGAGAAAGTGAGCAGTGAAATGCCATGATAAAAAGTAAAATGACCTAGCTCCGAGCTTTTGGGTCGGTCGGACTAACAAGACATAAATAAAAAATGAAATCCAATTGAATATCCACGTGTCAAAATTTAATTGGAGTCCAGACGTAGAGCTAAGTCCGAACTCCGCACAAAATAATTTCTCTACTTGTTGTTGGTCCTAAAGGCCTCTTCAGCGAGCTCCTTGCGCAATTTCCTCGATTCTACACACTGCAAGTCCTGTTAATGCCTTCTTCCCGCTAGCTCCCATGCAACTTCCTCATTTCCCATCATTGAGGGATTTAAGAATTCAGGTAGGAATGGTGGGCCCAAAGAGAGAGAGAGAGAGAGAGCAAAAGGGAGAAGTTCGGTCAAGTGAGTAAAGAACGAGCGAGAGGGAGTGGGCAGCATTTTTGTCCTTATATAGATATGAGGATCGAATGGCCCTCATGCCTTCGAGCAAGGCATGCCTACGAGAGCGGGCCGCATTTTTGTCCTTTTATATATATAGAAATGAGGGTCGAATGGCCCTCATGCCTCAGAGCAAGGCATGCGTACGAGTCGAAAGGTAAGGAGGCAGATTGACCTTTTTTATTTTAATTTAATCTCATTATTCCCAAAATAAATAAATAATAATAAAAAATTCAACAATAATAAAGCATACAGTATTTTTTTTTTTTAACTCTCAAGTCTCATCCCTAGCATACATCAAAATGGCAGCATCACTTCATATGCGATTGAATTTCCGTTTCCATGCGGTGATCCAAGCAACAAGAATGCCTATGTTAGCTATTTCTAATATCTTGAACATACCGACGCAATTCATTTCACTAACAAACACTATTTGGGTAAACTTGATTTTGGTCAATGCATTTAACATCATGTTCGTCGCTATCCATTTTGATTTAGCTTCATTGGATCGTCTTCAAAATAGTTGTTAATGCCAACATTTAATCTTAAACATGTATAAAATTGAATTTCACACGAAAAGCCAATCTATAAGTCAGTAAACCAGTAAAATGCTCTTGAATATTGGAAAATCCTAAAAAAAAGCTAATCAAACAGAAGAGCCTATTTAGAACGGTAAATTACTGGATCTTAATAAGGTAAAAAATAGAAAAAGAAAACTGAACAAAAAAGGCTATCAGCAAAAAAAAATTTCAAGATCATGCAAAAGCAATTGGGCAAAAGTGGTTTTGCCGTGATAAGCTCGTACCATACTACAATTATTTTTGTAACAGATCAGTAGATAAGAAATGGTGATGGAACGGAAACTCAAAAGGAATGAAAAAATCCAACGATTACAAAACTCTATTAGCTCAGTTATTCTACGTGGTGTATACATGTTTAATAAATTTTAGATCACTATTCAATAAGATGTAACAAACAAAATTGGAAGCAAAAAAAGGGGTTGAAATGTAAGAAATTGCTGCACCTGTCCAAAAACTAGCTCATTAAGATCACTCATTGATGGTGTTTTCTCCACTAAACGAGCCTGCATCATGTATGTCACCAAAACGTTGTTATCTCAAAAAATAAAATCACAGGAAATGAAATGGTTGCAAGAGAGTAAATATTGCTCCTTCAAATATATTTAGGTAGATTACTGCGGATTTTTATGTTTTTGAAAGCTGAAGATGAACCCCTCATCATGAATTGACGCATCAATTGGACATTATAAAAGGCCATATAGACTAATCTCATCTTAAAAAAAATCGGAGTATAAACTCTAGCGAACATAAGATAGCCAAACCTTAACACCTTCAGGAAAACAAAAGGCCGGTATATCACTTTCCATCATTGCTGCTCTCTTCACAGGAGGATACTTGTAAAGAACCTGCGCAATAAACATATAAAAATAAAAATAGTCTTATAAAGAAGCAGCACGGTGGCACGCTGAGTTTCCATTAAAAAAAAGTAATTAAATAATAAGCAAAAATCTGGAAAGCAATTGATACAGCTTACAAGTTCGTAGACACACAATGCACAGGCAATAACTATAAACATAGTTGGTATAAACAATAAAGTAATGTTACAAAGCAACAGAAAATTTTAGGGAATGATAACATGGATAACAGTATACTCCAAGTTCAAATACTAGACAATTAAGATCAAAACATATCGAATGATTATTTACATCATCCTGTAGCTTAAAAGACCATGAAATGCCAAGGAATTTTTACATATATATATATACTACTGTTGATTTATAAAATTATATAACTTTCAATTAAATGCTTTAACATGTCGGCGCACATCCAATTTGCTCATAATGATTAACAGATTTATGTTAGCATGGAATATGTAGAAGCAATTTGCATCATTCTAAAGAAAAGTGTATAATCCAATTTCATTCAAAAAAGAATAGGTTACCCAAAGGTAAGGACCCAACTTACATAGCTAATTCAAATATCCTATGGCACCAAAACTTCTTATAGATTTAAGTACATATGCATTTCAGAAGCAATGTATTCAAGATATAATACAACCAAGGTGAGGTACTGAATTCATATTAACAGCTTTTTCTTGAGGTTGAAGGGTTTGTTTGCAGAATTTGCGAACACCAAAGCTTCTGACAGACAGGTTCAATTTTCTAGCTTAGTTTGAAGGCTTTGTTTGCTGAATTTGCAAACACCAAAACTTCTTATAGATTTAAGTACATATGCTTTTCATAAGCAATGTAGTATTCAAGATATAATACAACCAAGGTGACGTAGTGAATTCACATTAACAGCTTTTTCTTGAGGTTGAAGGCTTTGTTTGCAGAATTTGCGAAGACCAAAGCTTCTGACAGACAGGTTCAATTTCCTAGTTTAGATTTCAGGTAATAGTCCAATAACTTGTGCAGCTAAAGATTATGTTGGATAACCTTAAATAGCCTCACCATGCAGTTTTGGACGTTTATCCATATTATTAAACATAAAGATAATCTATTTTTAATATAAAGTCAGAGGTTATGAATATTTTAATTGTTGAGGCATGGGTCTCTGCTTTTTCCAAACTGAAGCTGCATTGTTGTTCCCTTCCTTTACTTTAAGAAAATAGAAAATGGAAAAAAAAAAAAGATTTTTTGCCAGCATGGTCATCGAGAAGGATGAAGATTAAGGAATGTTAGTTATGTGTGGAATCTGATTGTGTTGATCAATTGGGTCGTATTGTTGTCTTGGATCTCAGTTCAATTTTTCGTGCTTGTTGGGGGGTGCAATGAGTACTCCCCTTGCTTGGGTTCGGGTGCTTTGTATCTGGAAAAAAAAAAATTCGTACAATGCCCCGGCGTTGTGTACCCCAACTTCCTAATACTACAGAGTTTGCTGGGAGAAACGAAAGATAACGAAGCCTCTTAGCGCCATAGTGTTGTGTGATGCCACAACGCTGCAAGTTGGAGTGCCGCAGCATCATCAGATGGATCGATGGCAGAGGCTTGAGTACCGCAACGCTTTGAGGTAAACTAAACAGTTTTCTTTCTCATTTTTCTGAAGGATGACGTCCATTGGTGTTATTTACTTGACTTTCTCATGTGTTATATGTCAGAATGATGTAAGAGAGGAGAAATAATGAGAGAGTGAGAGAGAAGAGAGAGATATACTTATTTCTCCCAATTTTCATAGTGAGTTTCTTGGTGTGGTGTGACTCCATATTTTTTTTCCTAATTTTGAGTTTTTCCATATTAAATTCAGGTGTCCTTTACTTTCCTCTACATTTACTTTTTGTTTGTTTCATGGTGGTGTTTACTTCCATCCCGAACAAGGACTTCCAAAAGTTCTCACATATGTTGAGTCCTAAGAGGTTTGACACAGGTCAAGCAGATTCAAAAGTTCAAAAACAGGACTCAAGTTTAACTAAAAAAACATGTGAAAATTGCCGAATACAACAACAACAACAACAACATCAAGCCTTTATCCCACTACGTGGGGTCGGCTACATGAATCCTTTTTCTCCATTGTGTCAAAAATATTGTGAGGGGGGATTCTCCGTCCCTATGAAAATTGCCGAATACTGATGTAAAAAACAACAAATCTGGGCCAGGAAAATATCATTGAATTCAGCAGTTGCTAAATATTGTCAAAAAACCAAACCCCATAGCCCCACCTATTTGAGAAATAAATAAACTGACCTGAGGTTCAAGAGTAGGGATTTGTCCATTATACTGAAGCTTCCTAAGATCTAAAATATCTGATTTTGCCACTTCAGATTCCCATGTCTTTCTTCTAGCGAACGAATGCTCAATGACTTCAACATTTGCATGTGAGTGGAGCCCAACAATGAAGAATTGTTCAAAAAGCAATGTTGGGTCCTTATATAGTTTAATATCCTGCACATTAACATCCCAGTTAACCATTATCAAAGAACTTGAGGGGAAATATGCAAGTGATCATTCAAACAAAGCAAAATGGCAATCTTGCCGATAACCTATTTTGTATAAACATATCAATATGATGGTTGGCAATTGAATACTTAACTAATAATATTCATGCGATAGCTTACCACTGACCGGTTGCCAAAATTCTCTATATCACACCAAAAATTTACTAATTGTTCACATGTATTCAGAGCAAACCAAATAGATCAAAAGTATTATCATGAACTATTCGAATAGAGATATAAAAAAGCCATTTTATATCCATCGAGAATAATATTATTCTAAATGGAAGAGACAAACGCTTGGCTCAAATCACGATAAATTCACAGCCACCCAAGAGTTTGGAATTGAGGTTATGTTATAGGCCAAATCAAGCTGAATTTTGCTTAGCATAAGCTGCAAGCAGGAAACCACTCTTCTACTATGAATGAGGCTTAATCCAAGCTTTAAATGAATCAACCTTGAGAACAAATTCTAAGATCCATACACAATATCAGTTAACACCAAAGGAAATAACTGGTCATGATAAATAAGCCACCGTCTCCTGCTTCATATTCACTTCTCTGCAGCCACTCCTTCCTCTTTCTGCAGAATTCATCTCAGCCATCTCTGCCTAACTGCAAAACTAATGTGAACCACTAGATGGCTGCAGCCCTCTCAACTCTAGCAAGACACCTGTAGCTCTTTTCTTATATATACCCTGTATTACATACACAATAATCAAATAATAAACTTTTCCTTTCCTCGCTACAGCTTCTTCTTCTAGCTCTCGTTAGTTCAACAGTGCTACAGCTGATATTTTTTCAATATCAAAATGACTTCATAGCATTGATTGCCAGACTATCAAACTACCATCAATACTTAACAAACCCCCCATAAGAACCTAATTCTTCTTCTAAATGGCATACTGAACAGCAAAATAAATTGGTCCAGAACTACCAATGCACCTAATCATTTCACCTAGCAATTTGATTAGGAGGTAAAAGACATTTAAAAGCATTGGCGGTGCTGAACCAATTGACTTTAAAGTTGAACCGCGTTTTTAATATGGTAAGGGTGTGCTTATTTGGCGAACCGCGTTTTATCCCCGAATGATTGATAGCTAATGCTCATTTCAACAATGTCGTCAACTACCAAGGCATCCACTTCGGTACAAAAAATAAAACAGAAAAAAAAGGCAGACAACGTTACCCGGTTTTTCCATTGGGTTCGATACCAGAGCCTCTTCTGTTTGGCCATAATCTCCAGATTCAACGTCGCCATCAAACTCTGCTCCCTCTTCTCGCCGTAAACGTTGCTCCCAGCTGTTCCCCATCCCCAAGCCCGCTGGATCTGTCGCTTCCATCGCTGGAAGCTATTGCTCTGAAAATGTCCCACTTGCCTCAGGCTCGCCAGCGGAGACGAAAAACTAGACGTCGTCGCGGACGACGGGGACTCCAAAATCGCAGCAGAAGAACCCGTATCATCTAACGAACCTTCCGGCGTCCGAACCCCTGCCAACGCGTTCTCTGGTGAATACGACGTTGACGCCAGCGAATCCTCCCCCTCTTCAGGCTTCTCCGGCGAAGCTTCTCCATTCATTCCAACCTCTTCTGCTCCCATCCCAGGGCTTAATGTAGAGTATTCAAGCAGAAACGAAAGCACATTATATCCAATCCTCTGAACCTATAAACGCTGAAAGAAATCGTAAAGAACTAAACTCCTTTGGAATCCCTCTATCTTATTTTTCTGACTTGGAGAAAATCGTCTGACCGGGGATGAAGAGGAGCAACGTTGAACCGACCGGTGAGAAGGCGAGCGCAGATCGGACATTAACCGCCAATTACGAACAATTTTGGCCGCAGCGCGAATTGCAAAGAAAAAGGGTGGAAAGGAGTTGAGGCCACGCACGTGGTTTCGTGCGTTTTTCCCGGATATTCTGTCGAAAGATGGAAAGATGATATAAAAATAGTTTTACCCCGGATACGTAAAATAGATCACGTAACTAGGCAAGGATGAATTATCATGTGTCTGTTTGATTGTCTCAAAAAGTAATAAATAGTAAGAAAATATAATATAAAAAATATTTCAGAGTTATTTTATTGAGGATAAAGGAATACATGATTTTATTTTTTTATTTAATTTGAAGTAAAATAAAGATAATATAAAATGTAAAAAAATTGTAATTAGGAGTGACTAGCAACAGCGTCAATGGTGGGCGGTGTCTGGCAGTAGGCGGGGCGGTAGCGACGGCAGGCGACGACCGGCAGCAGGGTGGAAGTGGAGATGATGGGTATTGGCATTGTTCAAGCAAACTTTGGAGTTGTGTAAATGTTTCTCCTCAAAATTGGGTGAAAACGGTTTATCTCAAAAATAAATTGGAATTTAATACAATGCATTTAATTTACTTTACCTTGGATTTATTTTTCATCCAACTAAACACCAAATTTTTCAAAACTCCTGCATTCACTTTACTTTACGCTCACTTTACTTCTAACCAAACAACCTCTAACCAAATCGTTATTGTAACAACACAAACTCTTCATTATCGAGATATTGTCCACTTTGGCCTAAGGGCCTCATAATTTTGTCCCATTTGTATAACTTTCCAAGAGGCCAGGTCACGTATCTCATAATTTTCTCTAGGATGAGCACGCTTAATTGTGGAGTTTCTTAATGAAATTCCAATCATTTGACCAAAAGGTGCATCGAAGTTTAAGAGTTTAACTTTTTTTACTTAAAGAGTTTCAAAGTCTCCCCCATTTAAGTAGTTGATGTCCTCGTTAGTATTTTTATATCAAAATCATCCACAAGATAGATATGATTATATATGTTACCCTTATAAGTGAAGTGATGACTCCTACCAAATAGCACTTTGTTCCATACATGTTTCAAGAGATGGCTCTCATGACTTAGCATTTTGTCTTGTATAACACTTAGTTCTCATCTTCTAGCTAGTGTATTGTTTTGATATCAATTATAATAATCCAAACTCTTTACTATTGGGATATTATCCGCTTTGACTTAAGGGGCTCACGTTTTTGTCATGTTTGTGTAACTTCCTAGGATTTCACTCATTTCAGGATTTCTTCGGGATAAGCATGTTTCATTGTTGAGTTTCTTAATAAAATTCTGACAATTATACCAAAAAGTATCCCAATGTTTAAGAGTTTAGCTTCTTTACTTAAGGGGTTTCACAATTACACTCATAAAGTGCATGATAGTTATGGGATATATTAGTTCATGTTTTACTTTTTCATATATTTTAGTATGAAATGCACAAAAATAATATTTAGCAATTTTAAATATATTATTTTTGTTGAATATTAAATATTGTATAAATATATTTATACAATTAGAGGAGGCAACCGGGATGGCGATGCTGACACTAACATTGTGGTGGTAGCAATGCGTGGTGGATGAGATAAAAGAAACAATAACGATGGTGGCAAGGCATTAGCAACATCAAAGGGGTGAGGCGATGCGCCAAGGTGGCAAGTATAATAGCATCAGCATGACTGCGGTGATGGAAATTATGTGACAACGCTTAAGTTCCAAAGTAAATCTTTATAAGTCATATTGGGTTTTAGATCAGACACTATCTAGAGAATTCGCCCTTATTTACGAGGGCTTTACAATCTGAGTTCAGGTTTTTTACAGGCGCAAGCCTCTATAGTTAACTATCTCTCCCGATAGCGAGAGACAGTGGTGGAGCCAAAAGTTTTGTTTAAGGGGGGCCTAACGAAATCCATTCTCGAGGTCGTGAGTCATGAGTCGTGAGAGATGAGAAAGGGAAAAACGAACCATTTCTGCTTTTCATATGTCCAAAAAAATGTTGGTGGCTTCTCTAGACTAATAAATAGCTTTAAAAGAAAGAACTACACTAATTAGAGCATGATTTTTTGTTGGCAAAAGTGTTGTTCTATTAAGCCACTAAAACAATCAGCTTTAAGCTCCTTTAGGATTTCAGTTTTAGCTTTAGCATGAAAGTAGAGAGATGAGCTGAATATACATAGTATGGATTTAGTTTGGTGCATTCGGCTGCAGCATTTTCATTGCGCAAAAAAAGCTAGAAAAAGCAAAATCATTCACAGTAATTAATTATATTATTAGCAGTGCAAAAATAATTAAATAATTGGATGATAATTTAATATTTAATAATTAATATTAGGTAATAAATAATTAGTTAACGATAAAAGTTTTAATAAAATCACATTTAAATAGTTAAATATTTTAAATAATAATTAATCAAACAGCCCTATAACTCTACGTCAAAATATCATTTCATCATTCTTTCCACAATGGAAGTCATTCCTCCCTCTCCCTTTCAATATTTTACCCCACTAGTCTTTCTCTCTCTACAGCTTTAAGCATTGCATGGTTTGAGCAGAAAGTGGATTGAAGACTTGAAATGGAAAAAACTTGTAATAAATAAAATGAAAGTTAACAATTTTTTACAGGAGCTGCAATTAGGATTTATTACTTGGGAATGAAACTGGTATCACAGAGCTAGAAAGCTGCTATAACTAGTGTTGAAATCTATCAGCTCAAAAAAGAGCTCGGAACAACAAAAGAGTGGCTCTATATTCTGACAAAAGGTTGAAGTGCATTTATCAATTTTTTACTTCTCTCCTTTTTTGGGGGGGAAATTTTGGGGTTAATGTCCCATATATTGAAGATAAAAAATTACATGTAAAGTTAGGAAGTTTTCAACCAGATACGTAGTGTCCCTCATATAGTAGCAATAGAATTTGATATTTGAAAATTAAAATTTTACATCAATATGCACTTAAAGCATATGGTGGGGGGAATGATAATGAACCCGATGATCAAGATCATATGGTTTCGTCGCCCCGAGCCATCATGATCCCTATTCGAGTTAGTCAAAGGAGGTAGTCGACCCAACTTGATTGAAGGATCCTTATCGGTAGTCATAGGTTGAGTCATCCAAGGGTGCTCTAAGTTGTGATGGATATTCACCTAAAGGGGCATATTTGAGCCCACCTTAGCTAATAAAAGGCTTTATGCCCTATTATTTATATCATATTGATTAATTACTCAATAATTTAGAGCCATTGGCTCTAACCATGATCATAAGTTAGTTTTACCATTTAGCAAGAAAATTATCGGATTAGAGGGACCCAGATATAATCGTTTATATGGATGTCATTTGGCAGTGAAACTATCGATTAAAGGACATGTGCCACATCCTTACTAGCAAGAGATGATTTGAGAGTGAATCTTAGTTATATTCTCGACTGAACATTCACTCTTTGTGAGCTGAAATGATTTTCAAACTTGTCCACCCTGACAAACATTAAAAAACGAGAATTAAGAGAAAAAGAGAAAACGTCAGAGAAAAGTTAGGATTTGATGATCATACAGTCATTTTTGTTAGTCAACCCAGTTGAAAAATTTGCTCTTCTTGAAGTAGGTTATGTTTTGCCTATTTCACTTTTCAATAGTTTGATGTTTTTTATATTTTTCTTATCAAATTTATATTTTTATTACTAAAAAATGAGGATAATTTTATTTTGGTGAAACTTTTATTGTGTAAATTTTTATATGTTATAGAGAGTGAAATTATATATATTTTGAGTATATTCTTAAAATTTTTTGCTTGGTGATTTTGAAAAAGCACCAATTTTTACCTACTCAAAAAATTATTTTGACATCTTAAAATAGTGCTTCAGTGCAATTAAATATTCAAAATGATATTTTACACAATCCCTGGTAATTTGATTATGTTTTGAATTTGTGAATTTTTACTTAGAAGTATTCTTGTTATTTACGATTAGGACACTTTGGCAATTTTTGAATTCATTCTAATTATGCTTTAATTAATTAAATTCATTGAAAATATGAAAGAAATGTGTTGTGATGACAGCACTAGTGGGAAACCGATGTGGTTTTATTTTCAGGCCTATAAAAGGGTAAGAAGCAAGATGAGTAGTTTGGATAGCAAGCTTTGATCTGTGTTATAGGTATATTTTGGTTAGTTTTATTTTTATAGGCTTGACTTTTATTTTGTTATGCTCACTGTTATCAAGTGCTTTTATAGATAAATTTTAAATTGTATATATTTTGGATTATATATAGAAAATCATTTTGAGATTCAATTGACTTCCGCTTATACTGTATTTAGCAAAGCCTCTGTGTAGTATATAAATTGAAATTGTTGTTTCAGTACTTCTCCAACAAGAACTTGGGGTCAGTCTTGCCATAATCAGACACAGCATGACCTGTGTGGTATTGGGTCATATTGAGTCAGGTTATGACAGGATATTCTAGGTTCTATTATTTACTCTCTTTTTTTTTTAATTTCCACTTGCATGATGAATCAAGCGGCTGTAGCAAGCATGGGGAAGACATGGGATGCGGCAATAGGCTATGCAAGTTTTGAGTAAGATCTGAGTGGGAGTTTGGTAGAGATATAATATAATAGGCATTTATTATATATATTATTGCGTCTTGGACTATTCGCGATGATTGAGAAATATAAAATTTAACGTCTTAACTTTGTACTAAAATCCAGCACACAATCAGAAAAGAGAGTGGGTGCAACATTTATGAAACACCAAAATTTTTAAGTGGAAAACTCTTGAAAAAGGGGAAAAATCATGGGACCTAGCCTAGTTTCAATGAATCTACTAGTATATGCAGTTGATTACAAATGAAACCCTTCCTTTAATTTAGGGGAAGGGCTTAGCTCTATGTACATCATATGCAGTACATTACATAGTGGGAATACAAAGAGTTACTGTTGAAGTGTTCATTTGATCAGAAGGAGGGTAGTCGATGGGCGACGTAAGTCGGAAGAACCGTAGTCGATGGGCGATTGAGGTCATAAAGACAGTTGTCTGGCAACGGAGGTGTAAATGAGTCAAGCCAACCTATAAGTCGTCTCAAGCTCAACTTTATAAATGTACGTCTCATGAGCCAAGCTTGATGAGCTAACAAAACAAGCTTGAGCTAGCCCCAAATCAGCTCATCAGTTCTTGAACCAGCTCTTTTAAAAACTGCTAATATTAAATACACTTAAAATTCAGTAAGTTTTAAATTTGTTAAAAAAAGGTTTAAAATTTATAACTCTCTTCCTTCTTTGAGTAGATTTATTATCATTTCTTTTTTTTTTCTTTTTTAGCATTTTATTATAAAAGTAGCTTAAATAAGAATAATTTTCTCTCTTTAATGATATATGACCATACTTGTAAGCCAACTCGAACTTATATAATTAAGCTCAAGCTTGAGGGTGAACTCAGTTAATTTATCAAGCTCATCCTCAAGTTGTGACTGACTTAAGCTCAGCTCGACTTTTTTACACCCGTTGATTTCTCTAATAATAAAGCATTTTCTTTCTTTCAAAGAAATTAATATTTCAAAAGTGATATATTAGGGAAATATGAATTTCTATGACTCAATATTGGATGTTTATCAAATATTTTCATAAGATTTAATATATTTAAATAAGATTTGAAAAGTAATACGAACGAATTTCAATAGAAGATTTGAATATAGTTTGAGTAAAGTACAACTAAGATTCAAATATACTTTAAAAAAAAAAGATCGAATATGATTCAAACAAGGTTAAGACATAGGGGTCGAATAAGATTACGATAGGGTCAAACAAAGTTCAAAGATGGCTTGAACCAGTTATAGCATAATATAATATATATTTGATACATTATATTGCAAATTCGCAATCACAACAAACATAACATAACATAATATAAGTTTCATATGATAAAGTGCAATCAAAATAACAATAAAAAAACAAAATTGAGTGTGCATCTTTTAGAAAACTGAAGAAATAGAAAAGAGTTTAAATGTACGTCATTTTATTGTTATGTGCCTATGGATCTATGTATCTACATTATTGAAAAACAAATACACATATAGGAAATTTATATGCATAGTATATGATTGTGTATAGCTTCCGAAAATCTTTAAAGATAGGTAGATGATGTGTTATATCACATGCAATCTTTGGTCTCAACTGCAAATAAGACATATTATTCACCAATCTCTTTGTATAAGTACTACATAAATTCTTATTATAATTTTAAATGGCTTAGATGATGACAGTTTTATGAATATCATATGTGTTAGCTCTTCTCCATTTCCAATTAGCCTAAGATGAGAATATTTCTAATCTATGGTTAAATAACCACAACAACTCAAGTTATACTATGAAGCACTTACAAAATGAATTCATGATCACCTAAAGTATGCATTGTAATGCTAAAGGGGTTGTTGTCATATAACATTATGATCTTTCTAGTAAATGTGATATCACATATCATTCATTAAACTTTAACCTAGTTCACTGAATAATATATGAGATATGAGTTGGCCTAAGATTTTTGAAACTTCTCACAATCTCTTATAACATATATGACCGTAGTATCAAACCACTTAAATGAGTGTTTCCTCTTCAATTTATTCTACGTAGAGATTATTGGTTACATTACTGATCAAACAATTCATCCCAAGAAACAATGCATAATCTATAGGTCTTTGGATAGAATCATATATTCTCCCTTATTAGATTATGTGAAGCATATATGTGCTTCAAAATAAAATAAAATTATAGCGAACAACATAATATAATTACATGGTTAATTATTACTAGAATCAACAGCCTAATCGACTACTTAACGTACTATTTAGCTAAATCGTTGCTGTATTTTAGAAATTACACTATGCTCCACTACCTGTTCGTATCTTCTCTCTTTCTTGTTCTTCAAATCCAACTAACAAAGCATTGAAGAAAGAGAAATGCTCCTCAATGATTATATGTCATTTAATTCATGACACTCATGTATGTGAGTAGGACGATCCAAATCACCACTAATATATGGTTCTAGTGAAAAAAAATTCACCCTCATCATAGGTTACATGTCATTTAGTCCACATCCCATCATTTAAGTTGGCTATTTTGATCAAGTCCACTTAACTATCATCGCTTGATTTTTTTGACTTCCATTCTATTAGGAGAGAGCATCATCATTGTTTCCATATTTCTTCAACATCTTTTTCAAACCCCTTCTATTAGGAGAGGAATTTTTCGAACCTTCAAAAGTCAATTGAATATGAGCTATTCAACCCCCTTTTCTCAAGGAAAATATTTGCCCCTAATCGCCTCTTCATTATTTATTATAACACTTTTAGAGTTGCTTAACCTTGATATCCAAAGAAGGATTATTACAACTATATTCAATAGCCTCCATAACATACCTATACTAACTCGAAAAAAATTTGATTTTAAGCAAACTCAAAATTATTCTAAAGTTACCTTGAAAATACACAACATATTATAATTTGACAAAAAATTGATCAATATGAGTTTGAATTTGAATTCATCAAACTAAGGGCAATAATGTTTCTTAATCATCATTATCATGACCCTTAAAACTATAAAAAATAAAAAATAAAAACATACAATCAATTTTCAAAAGTTAATATTTAATTGGAAAGGAATTCCCTCGGAATGTTCTAAGGATGAGAGGAGACAAACCATTAGATTTGTGTTGGGATGATTTTATACATAAATTTTGGTTATCCATTAATAAATCATTTATCATAATATAAATACAATACTATTTTATCTCTCATCATTCATCTTTTTATGAGGACATCTTTATGTGATTTTTTTTGTGTTTCGTTAGCCTAAACTCTTTATTTGCTTTGCAAAAAAAAAAAAAAATCAAAGAAATGTGTTGCACTCTACTCATAAGCATAAAGTCAAAGGAGATGATAAGAAATGTATATATCAAAGTTAAAAAAAAAACACTAAAAAAATGTGGCATTCATCGACCATAATAAGAAATCTAACTTTCTTATAGAAAATTATTATTGAATTTTAAATTATATATCGTATGCTCATGATAACCTTAAGTAATCTCCATTATTATTCTCGTATTCCCTCCCAAGATAACATCAATAAAATTTATAATCATTAGTGCAACAAGCTAAATGAGCTGATGATGTCGTAGAATATGATTTTATGTCAAAACAATCAAGATAGCTATTCATCTTTTCAAAATACTTTACTTTCCCATTCATCTTTTCGCTCTTCTATAGGGGAACTATAAAGATTATCAAAGAATTGAAATATCAAATTTGAACGAAGAGCAGCAAGAAAAAAAATGAGTGAACGGAAAGATTTTCATCGTCTCACCATAAGGGGAATAAAGGGAGAGAATGTCAATCAACTCCTCTTGGTTTGAAGCTTCAAATAGTTGAAATAGTGAATCTCGAGTTAACTACAATTTTTATCAGATCACAAATAATTATAGATAATCTAGTATGGACAGAAAAAAGTATGCAAAAGGGTGAAGAAGATTAGAAAAAAAATTATCAAGAATTTGTTTGGGACAGCTTTTAACTATTTATTTATTTATTTTACTTTCAAGAAATATTTGTACTAAAAAATTATTTTAAAAAACAGTAAAAAAATTATTTCAAATAAAAAATAAATCTACATCGGGCTAATGCAAAAAAAAAAAACGGTTGAGAAATTAACTCTTTATTTTGGTAAAAACAAAACTCTTTATTTAGCTCAAAATTATTCTGCCTATTTTGAATTAATATTTCCAACGAGGTGAAACGGAATTGCCAGCCCACAAAGGAAGGGAATCGCGACCGATAGATCACCGCAAATCGAAACTTTTTAAGCCTGGCATCACCAAGCCGTCAAGCCCTAATTATTGGTGTTAAAAAATCGCGATACTCAAATCCCGGTGCGTCACTACTCCGATAAATACCCCGACAGCGACAATTTCGGACCCAGCCTCTACCGACACCTCTGAGAATAATATCTCTATCCAAATACCCCATCCAGTATTCACTCCCATCCAACGGCTCAAACACGTCCGATCAAATCCACACCCGGGCCCCGCTCTTCCCTCTCCCAGATCTAAATCCAGCTCTCGCCATTACCTCTTCCAGATCCGGAAGTGGGAGAGTCGGCGGCGGTGGCGGTGGCGGTGGAGCGGCGGTGACGATGGTGGAGCCGCACGGTAAAACCTGGACAACGCGTCGGGGTAGCAATCCTCGCCTCGAGTCTGATCCGGTTATAGACATTCCCCCGACTCCTCCCGGCGATGCTCGCCCCGGAAATAAACTCCCCGCTACCACCCCATTCCTCTCCCTTTTTTTACCCTTTTCATCATCCGGCTCCGACGGCTTGGGATACGCCAGCCTCACGACCGCCTTCACCATCGGCGCCTGGTACTTCTCCAACATCGGCGTCCTCCTCCTAAACAAGTACCTCCTCAGTATCTACGGGTACCGCTACCCGATCTTCCTCACCATGATCCACATGGTTTCCTGCTCTCTCTATAGCCTCGCAGCAATTCGCTGGCTCCGCCTCGTTCCTCTCCAATCCGTCTCCTCTCGGAAACAGCTCTTCAAGATCGCTGCCCTCAGCGGTATTTTCTGCTTTTCCGTTGTCTGCGGCAACATATCGCTTCGTTACCTCCCCATCTCATTCAACCAGGCTGTCGGAGCCACCACGCCCTTCTTCACAGCTATTTTCTCTCTCCTCATTACCTGTCACCGCGAGTCCGGCGCCGTGTACCTTGCTCTCCTCCCGGTCGTGCTAGGCATCGTCGTGGCAAGCAACAGCGAGCCACTCTTTCACCTTTTCGGCTTTCTCGTCTGCATCGGCTCCACGGCGGGCCGCGCCCTCAAATCGGTAGTGCAGGGCATTCTACTCACTTCCGAGGGAGAGAAGCTTAATTCGATGAACTTGCTTATGTACATGTCTCCCATCGCCGCCGTGATGCTTCTTCCGGTTACTCTATGGATGGAGGGGAACATTGCGGGGACCACAGCGGCGAAGGCCGCGGAAGATCCGCGGCTGCTATTCTTCCTCTTCGTCAACGCGACGGTTGCTTACCTCGTGAATCTGACCAATTTTTTGGTGACAAAGCACACCAGCGCGCTCACTCTCCAGGTTCTGGGGAATGCTAAGGCCGCCGTGGCCGCCGTTGTCTCTGTTCTTATTTTCCGGAATCCTGTTACTGTGATGGGGATGACGGGGTTCGGGATAACGATTTTTGGCGTGGTTCTATACAGCGAGGCTAAGAAGAGGTCAAAATCTTCCTCCTCTGCCTCATCATCCTCCCCCAATTCTTCTTCTTCTTGAATTTTTCTCATGAATTCGATCAAATTTACCTTCGAAAATACTCTTTTGCCTGTTCAGAACACGCTGCTGCTATAATTGTTATTTGGAAGGGTTAATTTTATCATCAATTGTAATATTTTCCGTTTATGCGCTCTTCTAGTTTGCCTTATATATATATTTGCACTATTATACGAGCTTTATAGTTAGAGAGAGCTTGTTCCAGCCTCAATTATTCTGTGAGGAGTTCAGATAGTAGCTATGTGTTCAGATTCCAATAAAAGCTAAATATTTGAATTTTACTCGTGAATATTATTTTTTATTTACATTTAATTTTTTTCTTGTTAGCCGGATCGACATGACCTAGAAATTTCCTGTTCAAGTATTAAGGTTTAGAATTGGTGTTCTTTTTTAAATGAAATACTGCGAAAGTTTCGTATTTTTTAAAATTCTAGCTCAATAAACTTTTTATAGTTATTGAGAAAGAAGAAACGAGGAACAACCGATGAAGATAAAGAATGATTCGGATGAGGAAAAATCGATGAAGATTGAGATTGATTTGGAAGAAAAAAAATGATGGAAATGAAGACAGGTTTGAAATAGGGAAATCTGATGAAAAGAAAGACTTGTTTGGAGGAGGAAAATCAGATGAAGAAACAAGCAATGGTTGTTTTTTCTATGCATTTAGGGAATATGTAATATTGAAGTTATGTTTGTATTTTGTAGATCTTGTTTTATTTTCTTTGTGTTTGATTCATTTTCGATAATATAATATTGCTTTCTTAAATACGTAGTCGACGAAGATGAAGACTGATTGGTTTTTCTCTTTTTGTTTGGTTCATTTCGATAATATAATACCGTATTCTTGAATAAAGTTCGATGTGTACCGCCGTGTACTTGTTATATTGTCTGGGATATTAAAATTTTGGCTTGCATTAGTGGACATTTAATTAAAACTGAAAATGTGTTGATGTAACATTATGGTTTATGTGTTTTTGGTGATGTTTCACACAATCATCTATGTATCGTCGAATCCTGTGCGCCCCTCGGACTCCGGACATATTCCCGAAGTGTACAGAAATCATTCTTCATCTTCATCGGCTTTTCCTCCTTCAAACTAGTCTTCATCTTCCACGATTTTTCCTCGTTCGAACTAGTCTTTATCTTCATATTCCTCGTTTCTTTTTTCTCAACAGTTATAAAAAATTTATTGAGCTAAAATCCTAAAAATACATAACTTTCGCGGTATTTCATTTAAAAAAAAGAGCACAAATCCTAAACTCTAATATTTGAAGATGAAATTTTTGGGCCTGGTTGGTTGGGTTGGCAAGAAAAAAATTAAATGTGAAATAGGAATGAATATCCACTTGTACAATTTGTACAATCCAGGTGTCGCAATTTTATTGGAGTCTAGACATATGCTACGTTCTGACTCCGCATAGAATAATTTCTCCTTGCAGGGATCATATCTCTTCACTATGATACGAACAATTTCATCTTTTTATAATCTATGATTATCTTGAAAAACATTCTAATTTAAATTTAGGATTAATAATTTTGCGAAAAATGTAATGTCCAATTAACTAATTAAAATTTTTATTATGTTCATCATAAAATAAATTTAACAATTTAAAATTCATCATAAGTAAAATTTATTTAGTATTATTTCCTATATCTTTGTAATTTATAATATTATATTTTGCCAACGTCGAGTACTCTTTGAATAAATAAGGTACCTATGTATTATTGCTGGAATTTGGGACGTGTGGAAACCTTAATTGTTTATTTATAGTAAAAGAAATAATGTGCATTAACGAAGTACGCTAGAATACGAGAGTGAAAATTTAATTCCTAGAGTTTTCTTCTTTGTAGCCCTTATATACTTATATTCAAAAAAGGAAAATTTAATATACAAAATAATACAAACTAAACATATAACAGTAAACAAAATAAATCAAACTAAGATTTCATTTCATTGATATAAGTCATAAGGAGAATACTAGACCCGTCAACATTGGACCCGACCCAAAAATCCGTCCCGAAAATTTCGGGTTTGGGTTGATCCGAACTAGGTCGGGTTCAGGTTGATCCGGGAACCCGGAAATGACCCGGAAACTCAGCTGCCCCGCTGCCCCACCCCCGCTGCCCCACTCCCGCTACCCTTCCGCCGCTGCACCCTTCCGGAACTCAAAAAAATCAACCCAAAGCAGGTCGGGTCAGGTTGACCTGAATCCGACCCGTGACCTAAAATTGACAGGTCTAGAGAATACATTAATGAAGCAGGAACAACAATAGATGAACGAAAAAATTGAAAGTAACAGCTATAAAAGTAAAAATTACCTAATCCCAAAAACATAAAAGGACAACTTCAGAAATTTAAATATCAAATAAAATCATATTGGCGATAAATCAGCTCATGAGATGTACCCTTATTGTGATTCAAATTAATGAAATGAAATCTTAATTTATTTTTTGTTGCTTGCTCTTTATATTATTTGCATATAAAATTTCCTTTTACAAGTACAAAATAAATTTCATATCCAATTACATTCAGTGTTGTCAAGGTGTATCATCTTTCGAAACTATAGGGTGTGACAGTTATTCATTTAGTTACAACCATTGTTTTGGGAGTCTAATAATTGTATGGCATTCAAGATAACTTCTTTTTATGTTTAAGTTTAGTGTTATGCGTGTGTATATATTAGGGGTATAAGCGAGTCGAGTCGAGTATCTGTCTAATCGAGCTAAGCTTGTTTAGTTTTTACTGAGCTCTAGCTCGAGCTCATTTACTAAGCTAGAGCTCGGCTCTTTAAAAAAAATTATAGGCTCGAGCTCCTTTGAAAAGGTTGAGCTTGACTCGATTGTTAAAGTTGATTTCTTAGTTTTATATTCAAATTTTAAGTTTTTTATTTATTTATTTTTAATATAGAATTAATTTAAAAAGATTACAAATATATTATATAATGTATATTTAAATTAATTTTAAAATATATATTTTATGTTAATCGAGTGGCTCGACGAGCTTTTGAGCCGAGTTAGGCTGAGCTTGAGCTTGGGCTCACTTAATATAAGCTCGAGTATAGGCTCGAACTCAAACTCATGACTTAATAAGCTTGAACTCATGGCTTAATAAGCTCTACTTGTGAGCTCGTTAACGAGTCGAGCTATAGCCGACTCGACTCATTTACTCCCCTAGTCTATATATATATATATATACACACACACACGGGTGTACACACACATACATACATTCCTCTAGGTCTTAGATGTGGGTGAGTGTGTTAGGTTTCAAAAATTTATTCTTGAAAGTGATGGCACAGGGTTTTAAGTAGAAATAGTGAAAGAAAAAAAAAAAAACTGCCTATCTTTTGTATAAAATGTTCTTTCCTTATAGTAAACTCTCTCATATACTCTTCAATATGAGGAACTAACTCTCCTTGCCATGCTATTTTTTTAAGCATATGATTGTCATGACAAAGGAACCCGATGCTCGACATAAGGGTCATAGATAAACCCAACCCATTCTTCCATAAGGGTCATAGACAAACCCAATGCTCTACATTGGGAAATACATACTTTATTTCCTCGCCCAACCCATTCCCTATATCTGATATAAAAGACAAAGGATCTTACTCACTTTCAAGTTTTAAACTAAAATCTGAAATAATCTTTACTAAGTTTTCTTTGATAATGTTTCTAATAAGCAAAAGCTATGGTAAAAAAAAAAAAATCAAATTTCCTTAGGTAAAAAGATCATTATGCTGTTAAAAGAACTTGTTGATAACAATATCCCCAAATACTTCGATTTCAAGTGGCAACCATCAGGCCCTACTGAAGGTTTACAATTGATGATAAAACCATTAATGTAAGCATTGAAGCGAATATAGAATCTTTTGAAAGAACTATCAACAGTTCAACGCTATTGTAAATGTATGCAATATGAGAACCTAGATTTTTATTAATAAGTGCTACTCCAAGTATAGATACCCACCTATAATTATCATCTTATGATTTAAGAGGGATATCTCAAGTTTTTCTCTTGAGCATTATAATTTCATATAGGGTAGTGATATTATGTATAGTGTATATGCGCTATTATTAATATACTTTGGAGGGAAGTTCAAATGTGTTTTCATAAATTCTATATCTAATTAGTTATCAAAATGGATTTAGCCTATTTATTTGTCAGCTCAATTAACACCCTTGCATAGATGTGTCATTTCTAATTTTCTCACATAAAAATTTTTTCCCAAATACACATAGTGATGCTAATATTCTACATAATCATCCTTGGTGCAAGCAAGTAGCCATGACTTGAGTTCTATCAATTCCAAAATCATTCACAGTGACTTTGGATCGAATGACTTCCTTAAAACTCGTATAAACATGGAAGAGTGGACTGACTAATAAAACTTTATCATCATCACCTCAACAACATAAATACCAATCATTGTAAGGTTCAATATCAATATTATTATATTCAATATTGTCAGAACTTGAATGATAGCGCGCCAATATGTGACTATCATCCTTGAACTCTATACCTTGTGAAAACATGCTTTTTTTTGTCTTGTACTATAAGCACTATCGCAAACCAAACTACTCCCATTGGACTGCTCGATCATCTCTATCACATCAACATCACTTTTAATAATCTTTTATTCTTTGGGCTATGTTCTAAAGACATGATGGTTGTGATAGCTCTCATTTGTATTAGATTAGTAACATGTAAATGATTCATAATAAAATTCTTGAAAGCATAAAAATCTAGGTGGGAGTATCACCGTGTTGTGCTGGAGAGCACAATGGTTCTGGCTTGTACATGTGGAAGTTCTAATTGTGCGACCGGAGGGCTCTATTTCCTATATTCTATAGTGATTTGGGGAGCACTATGGTGATGGGCCGGGGTTTTGTGCTTTAGTCACTATGTCAAAAAATAAATTTTTTTAACTTTCCAAATCCACTGCCCTATTAAATACACAAAGCCATTTCCCCCACCCCTTCATTTGGTTTCTTGGCCGGGAAGGAGAAGGAGAGAAGAGGGAAGAGGAGAGAGAAGCTTACTATGGGACATTTCCATCATTCCTCCAATTAGCAAAGTTTCTCTAATCATGGTAGGCACCCCGAATACCACTTTTGTTTCTAATAATTTTCATTTATGTGGCTTTCTCTCTCCTAAATTTGATTAAAGTGCATTATCTTCTTATTTAGTAAACTTTTATTATGTAACTTTTGGTATGCGGTAGATATCATCATTCTGAGTATTTTGATATAATCATATTAAAATTTAACCATTTATTTT